AAAAGGTAGAGTAGGGTAAAGAAAACAAGATCTGATGATGGCAGTGAGGATTAGAATTTAAAATATGGTATATAGGGAAGGCCTGTTGGGATCAGGACATTTGAGAAAAAAATTAAGGGAGGAAAGGGAACAAGCCTTGCAGACATATCTGGTGTAAGACCGTTTCATACAAAGAAAGGAGCAAACACAAAGGTTCTGATGCAGGACTGTGATGTGCTTGGTATGGCATATCAAGGAGGCCACTATAGCTGGAAAAGAGGAAGTAAGAGGGAAGTAGAAGGTAATGAGGCAGAAGAGGTAATGGGAGGCCAGAATGTGAATGACCCTGGAACACTACCAATACTTAGGCTTTCACTAAATGAGACAGGGAGTTACTGGATATTTTTGAACAAAAGAATAAAGTGATCTAAGTTTTAATAGGATTTCCCTGCCTTCTTAAAAATAGGAAGGGCAAGGCTAGTCATAGGCATGCCGAGAGGAGATTACAGTAATCCATGTGAGAGGTGATGGTGCCTTGGATCAGGGTAGTAGCAATGGAGAAAAGGTTGGCTATTTAATATATAGTTGACCCTTGAACAACTCAGGGGTAGGGGTGATGGATCCCTGTGCAGCCAGAAATCCGCATATAATTTTTGACTCTTCCTCAAATTTAACTACTAATAGCCTACTGTTGAACAGAAGCCTAACCGATAGCAAAAAGAGTTGATTAACATATTTTGTGTATTATATGTATTATATACTGTATTCTTACAATAAAATTAAAGAAAAGGAAATTTTTATTTATTTATTTAAAATATATATTTTATTTGTTTTTTAAGAGTGGAAGAGAGAGGGATAGATAGTTAGAAACATCAATGAGAGAGAATCATCAATCAGCTGCCTCTTACACACCCCCCCCCCCCCCCCCCCCCCCCCCCCGCCACTGGGGATGTGCCCGCAACCAAGGTACATGCCCTTGACCGGAATCGAACCTGGGACCTTCCAGTCCGCAGGCCGGCGCTCTATCCACTGAGCCAAACCAGTTTTGGCAGAAAAGGAAATTTATTAAGAAAATAAGGAAAATATGTTTACAGTACTGTATGTATTTATTGGGGGGAAAAAAATCACTTATAAGTGGACCCATGCAGTTTAAACCATGTTATTCAAGAGTCAGCCGTATTTGGAAGATGAGCCTACAGGATTTGCTGACATTTTGGATATGGGTATGAGAAAAGTCAAAGATGCTCTTCTGATATGAGCAACTAGAAGAATGGAATTGTCACTTATTGAAATGAAGACTGTAAAAATAATAGATTTGAAGAGGAAGAGCAGGATCTTGGTTTTGGACATGTTAAGATTGAGAGAGTTGTAGAAATATTGCATAGTGACAGGAGTTCAGGGGAGAATAAATATAAATGTGGAAATTTTCAGCATATAGATAAGTAAAGCCATGAGACTAGAATAAGATCACCATGAAACTAAGTATAGACCAAAAAAAAAAAAAAAAAAAAAAAAAAAAAAGAACAAAAGCTAAGCTGGTGCCAACCAGCTAAGAGGTTAGAGAGATGAAGAACAAGACGGAGAAGGAAAAGTAAATGAAGAAAGAAAACCAGAAGAGTGCAGTGTCCTAGAAACCAGCAGATGTATCATTTCCTGAAGGAGGCAGTGATCAGCAGTGCCAAACATGGCTCATGGATACTGGATTTAGAAATGTGGAGGTCACTGGCAAACTGGAAGGAATAAATGACTTTTAAAATATATATATATATCTTATTGATTTTCTTACAGAGAGGAAGGGTGAGGGATAGAGAGTTAGAAACATTGATGAGAGAGAAAGATCAATCAGCTGCCACCTACACACCTCCTGCCGGGGGATGTGCCAGCAACCCAAGGTACATGCCCTTGACTGGAATCGAATCCAGGACCTCTCAGTCCGCAGGCCAACGCTCTATCCACTGAGCCAAACCCGTATCGGCGGCATAAATGACTTTAACTGGACTGGAATCTGGACACATCCTGACAAATTCATAGGAACATGTTTTTCGAACAGGTTAAAGCATCATAAAGAGAAATTTAGGTAACAAAGCTCAATTGAAGATTCGTTCTTACTTAGCCTTCTAATTGGATTTCTTATAAACCATTAGTCAAATCTTTCTGGCACGCATTCTCAACACCCTGATTGGGTCAGTGCTATACAAATGCCTCTTGAACAGAATATAAAGAAAGTGACTAAAAAACCACAAACAAGCCCAGAATTATTATTATTTTTGGTTTCTTACCTTGATCACCAAGAACCAGAGCACCCGCTTCCAAAGCAAAATCTCCTGAGGAACTGTCTTTTGAAAGAGTTACAGTCAATCCAGAGGTGGTTGTGGTATTACCACAAACATACACACCACGTGGAGCAACGTTGCACACTGCCTGAGGAAACAAAAAGTTTAAGAGAATCAGAGAAAGTAAATAGCTAAAAGTAATTGCTCACAAATGTTAATTACATGCCATGTATTCTCCTAAGAACTTTACCATACAATTTTTACCACTGTGGCAAGAGGAAGATTATTATTGCATCCCCATCTATTGATGCAGAAACCCAAGTCTGTAGAGAGAGTAACTCACACAGCTATGAAGGTGTGATGTCAGGAGTCAATCAAATACAAGCAGCCTAATTCTGATGTCTGTGGTCATGTGGATATACATTCCATTTTATGTTTCATTTTCAAGTTCAACTAGCAAAAATTTGAGTACCAATTTTAATCTCAAAGGATCCAATGCTTCTTTAAATATTAAGTAATAAAATGGCTCAATGATGCCTGCCTTCTGAGTAAACAATCTCTGGCAGTTCAAAAAAGTAGTCAAATAGCACTACAATTAAAACCATGGACCTCCAGTCAAGCAGACCCATTTTAATCCTGACTCTACCATGTACCGGGTGTGTTGCTCTAAAACATCTCAGAGCTTCAGCTTCCTTAGGTTTTATCATATACTGTCCTGAGGAATAAATTATATGTATGTTAAGGTACTTAACCTGGTACCTGGTATACAGTAAGTGCTCAATTCAAAGCCACTTTACATGGCTCTGTACTGTACAACTCCCAGGACACCAATGTCAGTGTGATCTGGACTTGTGCAGTACATGACCCAATACCTATGGTGCTTAGCTTATAAACAGCAGCTATAATTACTTTTATTACTTGTAATTCCTTATATGTTAGTCTGAATAGGACAGTTTACTAAATGGTCAGAGGAAAAAGAGATTAAAAATATAAAGTAACTGACTCATAACTGTTAGTGTTAGCTTTTTTTTTTATTTCAAGAAAAACGATTTTAAATATAATAATGTTACATGCAATAAACCTTAATATTTCAAGAAAAACTACCTTAAATATGTTATATGCAATAAACATTAATATCTCAAGAAAAGTGATTCTAAATAACGTTACATGCAATTAATACCAATTATTCAAGAAAAATGATCTCACATATATTTAATGCAATAAATATTAATGTATCAAGAATAAAAGAATTTTAAGTATAATATTGCCAAATTGTACTAACATAGTATGGTATCACAAAAGTTGTAGGAAACATTAAAAATCTGCAAATAACAGGATTATTTCTGTGATATTTTAGAATACTAGAGGCCTGATGCACAAAATCCGGGCAAGGGGCTCGGCCCTTGCAGCCCCGGCTTTGTCCAAAAGATCATTCAAATGGTCGTTCTGCTGTTTGATCTAATTAGCATATTAGCTCTTTATTATATAGGATTTTTCTCCCTCTGGCTCTATTTTAAAAAAAATATATTTTATTGATTTTTTACAGAGAGGAAGGGAGAGAGCGAGCGAGCTAGAAACGTCGATGAGAGAGAAACATTGACAAGCTGCCTCTTGCACATCCCCTACTGGGGATGTGCCCGCAACCATGTACATGCCCTTGACCAGAATCGAACCTGGGACCTTTCACTTCGCAGATCGAAGCTCTACCACTGAGCCAAACCGGTTTCGGCTCTGGCTCTATTTTGTTCATCAGTTTATGATGTTCATTATATTCCACAAAATTGTGAGATCATATGATATTTATCTTTCTCCGACTGGCTTATTTTGCTTAGCCATGATGCTTTCCAGGTCTCTCCCTGTTTTGCAAATGGTAAGAGTTCCTTCTTTTTTACTGGAGCATAGTATTCCATTGTGCAGATGTATCACAGTTTCCTAATCCACTCATCAGCTGATGGACACTTAGGCTGTTTCCAAATCTTAGCTATTGTAAATTGTGCTGCAATGAACATAAGAGTGCATATATCCTTTCTGATTTCTTGGGATATAGTCTTAGGAGTAGGATTATTGGGTCAAATGAGAGTTCCATTTTTAATTTTTTTTAGGAAATAGCCTAATTTTTATAAAAATCCTGGCTTAGTGGGACTAGCAGACTTATATATGATACCCTCCATTATTTACAACACTTAATTTCCACTAATATTACATCTTCTATTTTTAAATTGAGCCAGGGGTTTTAAAGGCATTATTCTCAGGTTCAAAAAACATGAAAAATGTGCGGTGCCATTTCTTAGTATGAAAACATTTTCAGTGCCATTTACTGTATTTTGGAACCATTATCGATCTGTCCAAGACATATTTTATCAATAAAAAATGAAAAATGACATTTTATATACTGTAAACAAAATGCAGAAATTAAATGATCTGTAGAGATAATCACACCCTGTGGAGGTTAAACCAGGCTTCCACCTATAATATACTAATTAAAAAATCATACACACACAAAATGCTACAAGAGATGGAAAAGAAAGTGTAACAATTTGGATCACCACTTCTACCTTTTATATCCACATTCTGGCTAGGTACTCTGTGCTCTGTGCCAGACTTGTAGCAAGGGCTTGGTACAAAATTAAAAATATATATGCCCAGTTAGTCAAAAGCAAAAAAATATTGAAACATGGATAAAATGACAGATTAAAAAAATTTTTTTTTAAATATATTTTTATTGATTTTACAAAGAGAGGAATTGAGAGGGAAAGAGAGTTAGAAACGTCGACGAGAGAGAAACAGAGACCAGCTGCCTCTTGCACACCCCCCACTGGGGATGTGCCCGCAACCAAGGTACGTGCCCTTGACTGGAATCGAACCCGGGACCTTTCAGTCCGCAGGCCGACGCTCTATCCATTAAGCCAAACCGGTTTCGGCTAAAAAATTTTTTTAAAATATATTTTATTGATTTTTTACAGAAAGAGAGAGGGATAGAAAGTTAGAAACATCGATGACATAGAAACATCGATGATCAGCTGCCTCCTGTACACCGCCAACTGAGGATGTGCCAGCACACCTAGAAAACTGGTGAATATTTTGTTGAAACTCTCCTCTGAGTCCTCCCCTGAAATTCACACTTGCAGGAGAGAGAAAAGCCTTAAGACAAAGGACCCAGCATGCACCTCCTAAACTCTAAGGGACCCCACCAGCCTTGCAACCAGGGTAGTAATGGCACCTGATTATTCTTAAAGCCCAATATACTATTTATGTAGCTCTGTGAAGAGAGAATGGGCAACCCTGCTTTATTTTTAAACAATAAAGACTAGCAAAGTGATACTGAATAAAAAAAAAGGGGGGTTTGGGAAATGGCTTATGTTTTACAACAGTTGACATCTCAATAGACCAGCATGCCTATGCAGCCTGGGAGACAGAAGACTGGCTCAATTTGAAAAGATGGTCAGACACAAGTTATATATTACTCACACAAATCACAATTCACTTATATCACCAAATGTATCATCTGGAACACAAATACGACATGCTTTGAGCAAATTCATTTGTGAATTATTCATGTGTATACTAAGCAAAAGGTAAAATATTAAGTTATTATTTGTAGCATCCTACATATAATCCTACCTGTAGCATCTGACTTTTTCCCAAGCCTGGATCTCCAACAATAAGGACATGTGGATCTCCCCGAATTGGAATTCTGTTTTTGTCATCTGCGTATTTCTGGCTTCCTCCAAAGAGTGCTAATGCCAACCCTGCTTTAACGAGCTCAAATGTGAAGAAAGGGAAAAAAAATAAGAACATAAAGATGACTAGCAAAAGGGACACTACTCCTCTTACATTTACAACATTTATTTATTTAGGGGTTTTCTTTTAAAACATGACTGAACTTTTTTCCCTAAGAAAAGTAGGTCTAATATGAACTATTATAATGTATCTGATTAAAAAAGCAAAAAATAGAAAGCATAAAAATCGAGCAGTATCTTAAAAGTTCCTAAGTGAAGACCTATCTTGCAAGGAAGGCATGAATTCATGCCACAAAACTAAGAAATACTTGTTAAGTTTCTGTTTTAACTGTCCAGAGTCAGTTTAAAGAAAGCCCATCCTATTAACTCTAATTGGTAAGTAGCTTTTTTCTACAAGGGGTTGTAGTTTTCCCATCACAACATTCATTTATGGAGAATAATGACTCATATTGAAATATGAGCAACTGGCCAGCAGAAATTAGCTATTTTTTAATAAAGTCTTTATAGTTCGAGGCCCCCACTGCCTCGTGGCCCCGCCCACTGGTTGTTCCAGAAGGTTGGTCCACCATGCAGTCTAATTAGCATATTAGCTCTTTATTATATAGGATTTTTGCTAACTTTATATATATTTTTTTAGCAAAGATGAAGTAAAATACTTACTTCATGGCCAAAAATGACAGGGCAAAGCGAGCTGAAAAACAGAATACAACTCATAAATTCTAACTTCCCCTTCATTGATCTATTATAAGATTTTCTTTGAAGCTTGCTTAACTTACTACATGTTTTATTTAAAAAAAAAAAAGATAAAAATGAAAAATGTACACCCCCCAAACAACTCAATACATGTTATTCTAATATTCAATAAATTTCTCAAAATTCTTAATTAATCTATAAAGGAAAAAATGCTTAAATATTGTGCCAGAGTAAGGAAGAATACTTGTAAAGTATTTTAAAGTCACCAAATATACTATTGATCATTTTACATTACTAGCCTTTAAAATGCACCATAATCATGGTCTTCCACTTTAGGACATGAATTATTTTGTATTTTATGTGAATAGACATCTTTAGACTTGTGCAGCCAATTCACTGAAAGGAGACAAAAAGGTGAACTGAACACAAATTTTAAGACTAGATAAAATTTCATTTTTTTCAGTTCAAGTCAAATGATCAGAGAATGCAAAATCATATATGAATATAAAGAAGTATATTTATACTTACTCATTGTACAAACAAGAAACAAAATAACCAAACCAGGTGGAAGAGATACACTCAAGAGTAAACAGTGGATATTATCCTTTTTACTACATGTAAACACGGCTGTCGGTGTCCTGCCATATCCCTTGGCACTACTGGTCAGCATGCTCCTGCATAATCACTGCTGGCTTCCTACCACATACCAGCACCTGTCTGTCGAAGGGCTTTCTCTGGCTGCAGACAGGCTGGGCAAGCTGGGTTACCTAATATTCCCAGGAGCAGAACCTTGGATGGAAAAATACTGAGTTCTACACAGTCTAGTGCCCCAGAAGCCTCAGGAGGAATAAGCCCTGGGTGCTAGTAATAATCTGTTCATTGAGGCACAGCACCACATACTGACTGCCATCCTTTTTCTGTCTCACTTCCCAGTCCACCAGTATATTTGGAGATCACCTCCCAAATAAACTGCTTCCCAAATAATATTATTGCTTCTAAAGAAACCTAAACTAAAACTTAACCTTCTACTGCCTTTTCCATCGGAGGATGGTCTTTCCATTTGTTAACCTGGCAACAAAGGGCCTTTTCTTAAAGGGCCAGAAAGTAACTATTTTCAGTTCTACTATCTTGGACACAACTACTTAACTTGAGTGAAAGCAACCATCAACCATCTGTAAATGAATGGGTGGGGCTGTGTTCTAATAAAACTTTACATACAAAACATGCCTTCTCTGCTTAGTTGGCCAACCCCAGCAAGATTAACAAAACAAAAGAATCTAGTCCAGCTGTGGTGGCTCAGTGGATTGAGAGTCAGCCCATGGACCAAGAGGTCCCGGGTTTGATTCCCAGACAGGGCACAAGGCCAATTTGCAGGCTTGATCCCCAGTGTAGGTCATGCAGGAGGCAACCAATTAATGAGCCTCTCTCATCACTGATGTTTCTATCTCCCTCTTCCTCTCTGAAATCAATAAAAATATATTAAAAAGAATAAAATTAAAAATTTTTTTAAAAAAATCTAGTTTTAATGCTAAAATTATAAACTTAGGGTGGGGAATGGTAAGGTATGTACACATATAATATCTTAATAAAAAAATAGAAAAAATAAATAAAATTATAAACTTAGAACTAAAAGGTAAAAAAAAAAAAAAAGTAAACCATGTAAATAAAATGTTAGTTTTTTGTTTGTGTATTGTTTTTTTTTAATTCTCAATGGAGGGTATTTTTTTCATTTATTTCTAGAGAGTATGCAAGGAGGAGAGGGAGAGAAAGAGAGAGAGCGAATTGCTGCCTCCCACACTCCCCGCTACTGGGGCTGAGGAATCTACAACCAAGGTATGTGCCCTTGACTAAGAATCGAACTCAGATCCTTCAGTCTGCCGGTTGACACTCTTAACCACTGAGTGAAACCAGCCAGGGTGAAAACCCTTGTTTTTCCTACTACTTTATCTTTTGTAAGTACATTGCAGAAGGACCACTACTAGTATGTTCATTTTCTTTTTAAAGTATTTTTATAGATTTCAGAGAGGAAGGGAAAGGGAGAGAAAGAGACAGAAACATCAATGATGAGAGATAATCATTGAGTGGTTGCTTCCTGTGCAGCCCCCACTGGGGATCAAGCCCACAACCCAGGCATGTGCCCTTGACTATTATTCTGCCTCATTTCCCCCTATTTTTTCAAAACTATCAAAAAAATTGTCAAAAAAAGTCTCAAAATAACAGCATTGTTAGGTAACACAAAATTTTATTCAACCTTCAGAACAACCTTCTGAGACAAGTATTATTTTTATAAAAATGAAGAAAAATTAGGTGACATGTCCCAGACCACACCAGAAATAGTTGGCTTAAACAGGATGCCTCCCCTTTGCTTCTTCTCTATTGTACGGCAATAACAAGGAAATAATCCAACATAAGTAACTTCTATGTGAATCTCTTCCTTAGTTTTAAAAGTAAAAACAAAAAACCCTACATGCAACTAACTGAAATAACTCTGGAATTCACTGTCCCATCACTCTTCTGCTGAGTAACTTTTCCTTAGTACTTACACTAGAGGTCAGCAAACTTTTCTGAAGGGGACCAGACAGTAAGCATTTGTGAACCATTTGTTCTCTGTCTCAACTCTGAATTCTTTTGAATGAGGGTGGCTGTATTCCAATAAAAGTTTATTTATAGGCAGCAAAATCTGAATTTCATATAATTTTGCATGTCATGAGATATCCTCCTTTTCATTCTTTTTCATCCATTAAAAAATGTAAAAATGGCTCTGGCCTGTGTGACTCAGTGGTTAGTTCTGAGTACCGGAAAGTTATTGGGTTCTATTCTGGGTCAGGGCACATGCCTGGGATTGTGGGCTTGATCCCCAGTAGGTGGTATGCAGGAGGCAGCTGATAGATGTTTCTCCCTCTCTCTCTGTCTAAAAATAAATTTTACAAATCTTTAAAAAAAAAAACACACTAAAAACCATTTTTAGCTCATGTGTCAAACAAAAAAGGGCAGTTAGCTGGTGAACTCTATTTTGCAAACATTTTGACTGATTTCTTGTTACTTGCAGCCAAGAACAGCCCAAATGTACATACATACTAAAATTTCAGGTAGGGTCATACATACTTGACAATGAGCTTGAACAGGTTCTCTTCAGCTTGAATCTCTTGGATGGCGTAAAAGTCTTTAAGTGAGAACTCCAGCAATGCTCCATTTTTACACCCCTCCTCAGAAGCCTTTGGTTTCTGTCCTTTGCTATTGCTAACAGAATTTGCTTCAATGTATAAAAGGAACATACATTTGTCATTCTTATTCCGAGAACCTGTAAATTTCAAAGTGTGAAATGTAATAATTGGTATTTTCATTTTCCCTACAAAAATTCAGGTAGACGTATAAGAAAGGCACAATTAACTACAAATAAGCCTTCTTTCAGAAGAAAAGTTTCACCTATCCTCTATAATAAAAGCCCAGGCGGCATCACGAGACACCCTTGCACGATGTTGCCACAAGATGGCCACATACACAGTGGAGGTGGATGCAATCATGCCTGGGGGTTCCACAGCTCTGCGAGGCGAGGCCAGTCCTGGGAACTCTGCTGCCTTGTACAGAGGAGGAGTGTCGCGGCAGGGGAGGGCAGTTGTGGGAGATTGGGCTGGCAGGGGAGTATTTAGGGGGTGATCAGGCTGACAGGCAGAAGCAGTTAGGGGCAATCAGGCAGGCAGGCAGGCAGGCAGGTGAGCGGTTAGGAGCCAGCAGTTCCAGATTGGAAAGGGTGCAGGCCAGGTTAAAGGACACCTGCCCCCGTGCACAATATGCATGTACTGGGCCTCTAGTCCTATATAATAGAGTAATGTGCTAATTGGACCTGACGGTAGAATGACCTTCTGGAACAACTGGGGGGAGGGGGTGGTGGCGCATGAGGGGGCGGGGCTGAGGGGCTGTGCTGGGACTTCTAGGGTGGAACCTCTTACACAAATTTTGTGCATCGGGCCTCTAGTGTAAAAAATAAGAACAAGGAACTCTCTAAATTAATAAAGATTCAGAAGTACCTTTAAAAAAGACAAATGTTGACAAATTACTGAGGGACAATCCAAATGAGGAAAGAGTTATACCACACCTTCTTCAGCATTTGAGACTTTGACAACTCCAGTAATAGTCACGGTGTCTCCCGGAATGCAGCTGTCCACAAGATCATAAACAAGCTCACATTCTATCGTTCGTGGAATCCGACCTGCTTCTCGCTGATCGTCAGACATCAGCTCCTGGATTCTAAATAGGTAAGCAATTTTCAGTGAGTACACATATTGACTTTGGGTTATTTGTTCAACATATTAACTAGTCAGGGTCCACATAGTACTGAGCTAGATAAAGGACCCATTAGTTTTTTAAAAATTAGTTTAAAATGTTCAATGATGTATCTAAAATCACTTCAGCAGCTTGCAGTTTAGGATAGGATGGCAGGATGAGCATGTGTATTTGTCACCCTCCCTCCAAAATTACACTCACTAAGAGTAAAGAGAAATTTTAGGATGTGCATCAAACAAGAGATACTAAGTTTTAGAAAACAGTAAATAGTAAAGTATTGATGGACAAAAATAAAATGATGTCCACAACATATTACACAGGAAAAAGTTACAAAAAAGAGGAAGCCAATGTTTTATACCCCTAGGTATGACTTCTTAGTATCAGGAAGTTACTATTCAAATTCCACTAAAATATTGGTCTCAGCCGAAACTGGTTTGGCTCAGTGGATAGAGCGTGGGCCTGAGGACTGAAGCGTCCCGGGTTCAATTCTGGTCAAGAGCATGTACCTTGGTTGTGGGCACATCCCCAGTGGGGGGTGTGCAAGAGGCAGCTGATCGATGTTTCTCTCTCATCGAGGTTTCTAACTCTCTATTCCTCTTCCTTCCTCTCTGTAAAAAAATCAATAAAATATATATTTTAAAAAATATATTGGTGTCAAATGGGTACTGGACTTATGGGGGTGAGCACTTCATAAGTTATATAAATGTCTAGTCACTATGTTGTACACCTGAAACTAATATAATATTGTATGTTGCAACTGAAAATATTTTTTAAAGTGAGAAAAAAATCAAATTAAAATATTTAAGCTCATTTTCTTTCTTCTATTTTTACATGAAAACAGAGATTTTGGCCGAAACAGGTTTGGCTCAGCGGTAGAGTGTCAGTCTGCGGACTGAAAGGTCCCAGGTTCGATTCCGGTAAAGGGCACGTACATTGGTTGCAGGCACATCCCCAGTGGGGGGTGTGCAAGAGGCAGCTGGTCGATGTTTCTCTCTCATCAACGTTTCTAGCTCTCTATCTCTCTCCCTTCCTCTCTGTAAAAAAATCAATAATAAAAAAAAAGAGAGCTTTTGTTCAAATAATTAAATTATCCTGGATCTTCTATGTACGATATATATCCTATTGTGGCTTCTGAAGCCCGCATTATACCCTTCAGTGGTGAAAGTACTGTAAACGTGGCCTGGATACCAGGCTCCCCCACTCACCACACATACAATCACACTCAAGAGAAGTCAAACATTTCCTCTTTTATAAAATAGAGTATTTGTAAATATCTCAACATAGAGAACAGTTATTACATAAGTTGATCTTGGTTTTTACAGGGCAGAAGTGGGTAAAGGTAGAGCGTGGTAGCAATCTACCTCACTTTTCCCCTAGATTCTATTATAGTTTTTAAGACCATCTCCTGTTTGAGCCAGGTTTTCTGAGAGAGCATTCTATTGTAACTTCAAAACTATCTATTAATTTATATTAGGATGTAGTTATGCAAGTAGAGCTAGAAAAATGAAATAAACTTAAACACACACACACACACACAAAATTTGACTTGTTTTAAAAAACAGCTTTTTAAAAAAAATCTACATTAAAATGCCTCATGGATTGTGAGAACATAAAACATGCCCATTTCTAAGGAATTCTTTATTTTAAACTTTCAAAACAGTATTTTTTTTTACCATAGCTCATTATGAAAATTATATAGTTTTATGGTCTACATCAGTTCAATAAGTCACATAAGTGAGAAATACCATGAACTATTTCTCAGTAGAAAAAGGACATAATACTCGCACATCAAATCCTTTCTGGTATCCAAAAGAGAACAATTTTTTTTAAAAAATCAATCTTTATTGTTCATATTATTACAAAGGTTCGTCATTTCTTCCCCCTTCCACCAGGTTCCCACCCCACCCTCTGCCCCCTCCCCATCCCCCATTGCCCTCAACCATAGGTGCAGTTTATGTTCAGTCTCTTCCTCCCTCCCTTTCTCCGAGAACAGTCAGTCCACTCCCCTCCCATATCACCGACTCTACTACAATGAACCGCTATTATTGTAAGAGAACAAATTTTGAATAGAGACAATTATCATTTCAACACAAACTCTTAACTAAGCCTTTTATTATACACTTTATCAATGTATACAAATAAAAATAATAGTACAATACAGGAAAATCATAGATTATCTTTGCAGATGAAATATCTTAAGCCTGCCTTTTATTAAATAGTGTGATTGCTTACTTGATTGACTGCCAGTCCATCGTCATTGTGAGAGGAGAGCTAGGGAGAGCAGTAAATGACTTCCCTCGACATGTAGGCACAGGACACTGCAACAGATTCATATTCAGATTTTGATAAAGTACAATCACATTTCAAGTTTTTATTTACTATTGTTTTAAAAGTGCTGCTGCCTCTGGCCAGGTGGTTCAGTTGGTTGGAGCACTGTCTCATACACCAAAAGGTTGTGGGTTGGATTCCCAAGCAGGGCACATACCTGGGTTTCAGGTTCAATCAATAAATCCCTGTTTCTCTCTCACACTGATGCTTCTCTCTTTCCCTTCCTCCCTGTCTAAAAGCAATAAAAACATATCCTCAGGTGAGGATTAAAAAAAAAATTATCAGAACGGAAAATGCAGTAAGAGCTGCAATGTTTTCCTTCTGCACTAATTCTGTATCACAAGCTTTTGAAGGACCAGCCACCTTTTCAGGTTTTTTAAAAAAAATTTTTATTGATTTTTTTTTCTTCTTCTTCTTTACTGAGAGGAGGAGAGAGGGATAGAGAGAAACACCGATGAAAGAGAATCATTGATCAGCTGCCTCTTGTACACACCTTACTGGGGATGTGCCCGCAACCATGCCCTTGACCAGATTCGAACCTGGGACCTTTCGGTTCACAGGTCTATCCACTGAGCCAAATGCTCTATCCACTGAGCCAAACCGGTTTTGGCCAGCTGGTCCCTCTTGATCACTGCTTTTACTTTTTCTGTTGGGGATATACAAGGTTCCTCACCCTAAGTTGTCTCTCACCCTAAGCTCTATTCCTTCCTTTGTGCCCAGGCACTCTCCTGATCCTGAATGCGCTCTTATATATGGTCCCACATAATCAGCCTCAATCTATCCCTTTTCAAAAGCCTTGCCTGGATCTTCTAATCACCAGCTCTCCCGTCTAGCCTCCTTTTGCACTGTTTATCATATATACATACTTATGTGTTATGATAAATAACAAATGAATAAGTTGTGTTCAAGTTTTCATATGTCACTTGTTTCCTGAGTGGACTTTAAGGTGCATTTATAAATTCAGAGACTGTGGCAGACTGTATTTTCCAAATATGGTTGCAACAATATCCCCCCATAAGCCTTTATATAATCTTGCCACTCCCCCATCAAGAAATGGAGTCTAATCTCCCCTTTTTGGAATCTTGACAGGCTTGTGACTCATTTTGTAATCAATGGAATATGAGAGAATTGATGCCACCTGACTTCTGAGGCTAGCTAAAGAGAGACAAAGCCATTCTGCCTATCAGCTGGACTTCTTAAAGCAATCAGCAGCCATAAGAACAGTCTACGTGTCCTGAGCTGTCATACTGTGTATGAGAAGCCAAAATCAGCCCAAACAGAAAAACCATATGGAGGAGAGATCACTGGCCAGCTTCTAGCGCTAGGGGTGTCGAACTCAATCAGAGAAGGGGCCAAAATCTAAAATCCAGTCTAAATCACGGGCCGAATGGTTTACTGAACAGTCATAAACTGTCATTGTGATGGAAACGCAGTGGAGTGCAGTGATGACAGCGCGGTGCGGGCCACATTGCAAGGCCTGGCGGGACGGATTTGGCCCGCGGGCCTTGTGTTTGACACATGTGCTCTAGCCCTTGCTGTTCCAGTTCCACCATCTGACTGTAACTACATGAGAGATCTAGAGCCAGAACTACCCAGCCAAGCAGGGGTTACAGCAGCGTCCTGATATGCCAACGTTGCAGGTTCGATTGTCAGTCAGGCACACACAAGAATCAACCAATGAATGCATAAATAAGTGGAACAACAAATTGATATGTTTCTCTATCTAAAATCAATTTTAAAATAAAGAAAAGGAAATGCAGACTTGAAGGCTACATGCCAATTTCAGAAAGTGGCTGCCTCTAAGAATGGAACAAAGTGGATGCAAGTGGGGAGAGAAACAAAGAGACTTCTACTTTAACTGTAATACTATTCTTGTAGAAAAAAATGAGCAAACGCCATAAAATGTTAATATTTGCCAACTCATAATGGGTGTACAGATGTTAGTTACATTATTTTCTTGGTTTTAAAAAGTACTTTTTTATGGTTTTAATAATCTAGTTTTAAAAAAGTGTTAAGGAGCCAGGACTGGTTTGGCTCAGTGGATAGAGCGTCGGCCTGCGGACTGAAAGGTCCCGGGTTCGATTCCGGTCAAGGACATGTACCTTGGTTGCGGGTGCATCCCCAGCAGGGGGTGTGCAAGAGGCAGCTGATCGATGATTCTCTCTCATCGATGTTTCTAACTCTCTATCCCTCTCTCTTCCTCTCTGTGAAAAATCAATAAAATATATATATATTTTAAAAAGTGTTAAGGAAAAAGGAACACTTTCAAACAGCAGAATAAAGAAAACTTGATGTGTGTACCTATTAAGACAAAATACTAAAATGTGAATGGAAAGGATATTATTAACTCAGGATAATGATGGTCACTGGAAACAGCACATGTAAGGGGCAAAATAAACACTAATTTTCTGTCAATAATGCTTTATATCTTTAAAACTGTTTTTGTAGCTGGCAAAATGTAAATTTTAAGCAGTGGATAGAGGAATGTTTACTACTTTATTTTCTGTTCCCTGTAGTACTTCATTATTTGTAAACTAAAAATACAATAAGCTCTGTGTTCAGAAATATCAGGAACTGTTTTCTGTAAATCAATTTGCCTTCTTTACCAAGATAAATAAAGTAAAGAACAAGATATTACCTTTGTGGGGAGATTATACTTTCCATCTGGAAGAGGAAGACTCTGAATTTCTCCACAAGCAGCACAAAGAAAAGCCATCTTGGTGCAAAGAGGCTTTATGTTACTGACGCGAACCACTGTCCCTCTCAGAGCAATGTATTTTCCATAGTAATTTGCTCGCACATTCTTAAGTTGTGTCAAGGGCTCATAGTTGTATATCCTAAAACCAAAAATAGGAACATGTTTATCCATGAATTCACAATGGACAGAAAATTGAGGTTGTCTGTATTTTCACAAGATCCTTTTAGGAGCAGCTTTGGAATTCTCAAACTATATCATCTATCTATCTATCTATCTATCTATCTATCTATCTATATCATAAATTTCACAGACATTAAATCATTCCAAAAATAGAAAATGCTAACCTTCCCTTTTTTTTCTGGTCCCCCTGGCTGTTGTCTAGTGAAAAAGGAAAAAAATTCACATCAAAAGGAATATTTACAGATTCAGCAACTTTTGAGTTTTTAACTTTTTTTGCAAACTATTAGGAAGTATCTTCTATAGATTCTGGAAAAAAAACACACAAAAAACAAAACCCTGATGACTACCTTATTAATCTCTTTTAATGAAAAATTAAATCTTAATGCCGAGACAGGTTTGGTTCAATGGATAGAGCGTTGGCTTGGGGACTGAAGGGTCCCAGGTTTGATTCCGGTCAAGGGCATGTACCTTGGTTGCGGGCATATCCCCAGTAGGGGGTGTGCAAGAGGCAGCTGATCGATGACTCTCTCTCATCGATGTTTCTAACTCTCTATCTCTCTCCCTTCCTCTGTACAAAATCAATAAAATATATTTTTTAAAAAAAGAAAAAAAAAGAAAAATTAAATCTTAAAATACAATAAAGATGAATTAAAAAAAAATAAAATTTCATTTGTTCTGTGTCTAGTAGCAACATAACTTTAACAAAATATAATCATACCACTTAGTGTATTACATGGATTATTAAATTTAAACAGTAGGGTATGAATAAGTACACATCCAAATTCAACATTTGTAAAAATCTCAAGGTTGGGAAATCAATTTATTTGGGCAGAAAAGGTTTATTTCTGTCATGATCTCTTTGAAGAATTCTCAGTGGGTTTACTTAGTTGTGGTGACAATACTTATTGTACTGTTGTTGTTTTTTTAATTTATAAAATGAGGTTCTCATTCTTAAACAGTCCCTAAATAATTTTAAAACCAGCAAATTCCTTACCTTGCATGAATATGTGGCACATGTACCATTGTTTCTCCATCTCTAGACAATCCTTCTTGGGCTTGTAATTCAGCTGCATGCCTTTCGAGATCCTTAGTTAATACCTAAACAGGACAGACATTTACCAAAAGTTGGAAAACAAAATATCATCTTGGAGCAGAACTCTTTTATGGAAAATATGAAGTTTATGAACAGCTCAAAACAGAATACCAACAGGACTCTATAATAGTCTCTTAAAACCTGATAGTTAATTATGACTTATTTTATACTGAATTATGTTTTATCTGAAATTTTGTTGTCCACAGACTGGAAAACACCAGCATCCCTATCTGCTACCTTTTGTCCCAATGAAAGCTAATCTTGAAAGTCCTCATGGTTGTCCCCAAAGCTATTACGTGCTAGATGGCTTATGATGAAAAAATACTTTCTTCTTCTCCAGATTCACTGATAGAGAAAATGGCCCTGGTCAGTACCAAAGGGTCTCAGGTTTGATCCCAGATGGGGCTCATATGGGAGGCAACCTATCAGTATTTCTCATCTCTCCCCTTCTCCCTTCCGTATTCTCTAGAATCAATGAAAAACATATCCTAGAGGATTTAAAAGACAGAGAAAATAATATGATTTTTGAAATACCCAATAACCCTCTCCCTGGGCATTTGACAAGAAAATAAATACTTAATATCTATTTGCATACAAAACAGTATGCTGATGACCTAAGAGGAAAAAATGAGACCCACATATACAAGGACCCTGAATAACATGTAGAAATATCATAAGCATTTTGAGAAGGGGTCATTAGAAAGGTTTCAGAGAGAGATGACTGAGTTAGGCCCCTAAAAATTTGGATATGCAAGAAAACTGGCATTCTATGCTGAACAGACAGCACATACAAGAGGTAGAAGTTATTTAGAAAATCCCAGAAAGAATTCAGTTTAGCTGGATGGTAATGAATGAAGAAGGGGAAAGAGAGTTGAACCAGCTCATGGAAAGCATTTGATGCCATTTAAAGGATGTGGATTTCATTTGATAGAAAAATCACCAGTTTCTAAGGACAAATTATGTTTTACCATGTATGGCAACAATTCAGGGAAAATAATTAAGGCTTAAGACAGAAGCAGTAGGATGGAGTGAAGAAATATTTTAGAAATAGAAATGAAAGACTGTAGTGACTTGGGTACCGAGAACTAAGGAGCAAGAAGAGTCTGAAGATAGTAGCTAAGGTTCTGTCTCGAGCAGGGTATACATCTCTGTAATGAACTGTTCCTTTGTCTGGATACCCTTAAGTTCCCTGCAAAATACTTAAGGTCCATCATAAACCACATCACCTCTACACAATCTTCCTCTGGACTTTCCCCCTTCCTCCACAATGGATGAGAATCTTAACTTTGTATCTGAACGTCCCCAGCACTTTCTCTGTCAGTCCTAAGATTTACTATTTTGCCTTGAAGCATTTATGTGTTTGCCAGTCTAAAAAGTGCTTTTATATATGTTGTGTCATCAGACCCTGAGAAAAACTCATTAGGCACAGCAGGCATTGCTATTTTCAATTTATATATGGGAACACCCAAGGAGATTAAATTGAACTAAAATTTGAGGTTGGTCTTTTTGTCCCAAATTACTAACTGATAACACCATGATGCCTGGTATCTTCCCTATGAGCTTATATAGCTCCTTGAAACAAGGCTTAATTTCCTCACAATCTTTAATAAGATCAAACTAATTGAAATAAATTAGAAGTAAATGTTATATTTGAAGCAGATATATCAGAATAAATGGTATATTTCATGATAGTACAGCAACCTTTTCATTCTAGGTAATGTCTGTTGGTATTTTTTAGAGAAGGTACTGTTACTATGAAATGCCTTTAAAATTTTGACAAAAGTTTCACAAAATAAATACTTACCTGATGTATTGCCAGACCCATGCAAGCTAAGGTTTTCTCAGGTGCATCCCTTAATTCATTTGCTATATTTGGTATCAACTTAGCTACTTCGTCGTCATTTGTCAATTCTTTAAAATCCACCAAAATACTTCCCTTTCTTTCTATTTCGTCCTATAAAATATTAAGAAATATAAACAATAATTGCTTTTTCAGAGCACCCAATTACCCACTTTGCAAAAGTATATAATGTTTATATGGTGAAAATAAGTACTATAAATTTTGTGTCCAAGCATGTTTCTAAAACTTACAATACATTAACTTATTATTTATGCCTCTTAACACTTGTGGTAGATATTAATAATCGTATTATCCTCATTTGATAGATGAAAAAAAATCGAGGTACAGAGAAGGTGACTAATTCAACAAAGTCCACATTGCAGGGTTGGGAGTTGGACCAAAGCAGTCTGGCTCCAGTGTCTATGATCACCTAGCACCTCAAACACATCGTTCAGTTAGATGACATAAAAAATTGGGTCTAGCAGTTTTTTGTTGTACAGACTCTTACCTTATCATATAAATCAATACGCCTTGTGAAAAAATTTTCAAATGCTTGAATCTTCTCAATAAAAGGAGAGCTATCACTGTAAACTAATCAAACAAATACGGCATTAGCACTAATAATCACACACATACAAACATAATTTTCATGAGACAGAAGAAACACTAGACACACAGTAAATGACTTTTCCAACTGCTTTGCCTTCTGATTACATTTTGATAAGAAGTGGTATGGAATATGCACTTAAGATTCTAAAACAAATTTAGGTTCATATAATCTGAAATACAGATAGAAAGTGACTCTCTAAAAGCACAATATGCCGAAACCGGCATGTTTTAAAAATTCTTGAAGTGTACCAGTATGCCACAGAACATTGGTTTAAAATTGCTGTCTAGTAGGAAAAACCACTGATCTATCTTTTACCTACCTACT